AAGTGACATTTAAAGGCTTAACTAGGTTAATTAGGTTAACTAGGCTGGATAGGGTAATTAGGCAAGTTATTGTATAACGATGGTTTGTTCTGTAGACTATCGAAAAAAATATAGCTTAAACGGTGTAATAAATTTGACCTTAAGTGTTTTTTAAAAAGTAAAAATAACTTTTGCTCTTGCCGAAATGAAACAAATAAGACTTTTTCTGGAAGGAAAAATATCAGACATACTGTGAAAATTTCCCTGCTCTGTTAAACATAATCTAGGAAATATTTAAAAATGAAGAAAATCCAAAGGGGGGCTAAATATTCTGACTTAAACTGTATATAAAAAAAAATAAAAACTTATAACAATAAATATTGTGAAAACCTCTATACAAATAAACTCAATATAAAATAATTTTATTATTTTAAGTTAATACATTAAAAAAGGGCCTTAGTACTACTTTATGTATTTTTAGTTTTTATTTTAAACAATAAATAAATTAATTAAATTATTTAATTATGTATTTTTGAACGTATTTCTGTATAAAATAAATCGTATCAGAAGGTTAAAGTTTATGCACTTGATTATGAGTTTGCCGTTGTTGACTTGCTGGTCTGCGTGACGTAAAAAAAAAAAAAAATTCAGGCAGGACTGCACAAAATTGGAAAAGTCTAACATGCTATTTTTTTTTTATTCTGCGGTATAAATTACGAAATAAATACAATTTCAATAGATGAACTGAATAGCTATTTGGAAAGAATTAAACATTTTAGATTGATTGGGCTATAAACAATCTCCGAGCATACATAAATTCAATAAACATAAATCGTTTTATTGTTTTCCAGAGGAGTCAAACTGTATTAGGTATACAGTAATTGAATAATCAAATATAAAGTACCTTTGTGTAGTCTTCGTTTTATGAACAATTCAATAAAATGAATCCTTATCCTCAAGTTACAAATGGTACAATTTCTCAGGCCTGAATGCTTTTTAAACCCCTTACATAGTCACAGGCTTTAAAAAACACTTGCGAAATGATCAATTATAATCCAGACTCAACATTGCATACTTTCGATGTGACTATTGCGGATGATCACATTGCAATGTCAATGCTAAAACGATATATTGTGCAATCCTATTTCCAAGAACAAAGACTATCTTAGTTCCCGTGTTTGGTTGTCAATCATATTTCGCTAACTTACAATTACATTTAACCTGGTATAAAATTAGCAGCTTTGGGAGTCTACATGTGATGCAGATGTGTCCTCTATTAAACACTCCTACAGGTTGAGTTATTTTTTATTTATTTATTTATTTCCCCTCACGCACACAGGACGCTCTCAGATGTTAGTAATTGTCCCGCACAGAGGCTGTGTGGAATTGGAACATTAAACGCATCTTATCTCGTTTCGTTTAGCCTGCTTCTTGCGCTCTCCATTGATTGGAGCCCCCAATAAACGAGCTGCCTTTAATTGCAGCAGGCCTTAATCCAACTTTTCCTTTTTAATGTAGCGTAGAAGGAGGGGTAAGGGGAGATTTTAATGAAAGTGATACGAATCCCCCCTCCCCCATCCCCTTTACCATACCTAACTATTTGTGTGCTCGTGTATCAGTACAAAAAAGCTGGTTAGTTGCATCAGGCATTGGACTCCAGCAAATTGACAGCTCTCTCTCTCTTCTCATTCACTCTCTTTCCTTATCTATCCATTTTAATTACTTCACAATGTGTGTGTAAGCTTGTTTTCGTTCCCATGTACCATTTTTGGTGCAGTGGCTTTCTCCCGTTATCACTCCCTGTCTTTAGTCTTATTCGCATTTGTAAGTGACACAATCAATTAAGCGGCGTGTGTTTATGTGTGCAAGTGTACAAATCTGCGCTTTTCTTCTGCAGTGCCAAATGAAACGCAGAAGGAGGGGTGATTTTTATTGATATCAGATGAAAGAGAAACCGGTTGCAAGTGAAAACGGAGCCGTTGCTCTGCTGGACGAACGAGTAGGCCTGATGTCTGAAAATTATCACACGTTTTCAGATATCTCTCATTTCAATCCCTCCAAGGAGCACTTTGTTTCGAGCAAACAGGTTTTCATATATGTGGTTTTTAGGTATGCAAATAACTTGCAAACTATTAGAGAGCTGTTTTAGTTTTAAAAAAAAAATCATAAATTGAAATACTAATAATTGAAATAATGCTTGTATCACCCTTTACTACTACAACTTACTAAAACAAATGACTGAAAATGTAATGCATAGCTACGTTTACACATTTTCATGTCATGTTGCTTCATGATAAACCAAAATAGTAGTAAAATGATCAGAAAGAACATGATAATGTAAAGCCTATGTACATCAATAAAAAAATAAAATTAATTGATTGGACTCTTTCTATGGTATACAGTACAATATACAGTTAAAGTCAGAATTATTAGCCCCCCCTTGAATTTTTTTTCTTTTTAAAATATTTCCCAAATGATGTTTAACAAAGCACGAATATTTTCAAAGTATGTCTGATAATCTTTTTACTTCTGTAGAAAGTCTTATTTGTTTTATTTCGGTTTGAAATATACTTGCGGTCGCATTGTAACACACTTTTTACCCATGGCATGTTCCCTACATGCAACATAAAAACAAGCGATATTTAACTATTTTTATTTATTATGACACTGTTATATACTGTTTTAATTAAGTTTTAAAAAAGACTGTTGAAATGTAAAAAAAAAATACACTATTTGTTTTACTTTTATTCTGTTTGGGAGCCATGTGCACCCACTGACAGGTAAAATCTGCTCATGACATTTTGTACCGTATTGCCAAAGCATGTTCGATATGTAAAAAGAAATTTATATTTTAACATCATCAAAGAAAAATATATATACAGCAAATCAGAAATAAATAGCATTAATGAATAAAATTAGATATCTCTAAAAAGTACATTAATTACAAGTATAAAATACTGCATATTTTAATAAGGCAAATCAGTGTGTAGGGCGAGAAAAGATTTTCCACTGGTTAACCGTTTACGGATGTTTGCCTATTGGGCGGATACAAAAAAAAAAGTGTAAAAGGATGGCCATAGTTAAAAAAAATAATGTCACCAAATATATTTGGCCCTGCGTTAATACACCTGGGTGGCTCACCCAAGTAAAGTCTATTTGTGGGAAGCACTATATATATATATATTTAGATATTCATTAATTCATTTTCCTTTCGGCTTAGTCCCTTTATTCATCAGGGGTTGCCACAGCAGAATGAACCACCAACTTATCCAGCATATGTTTTACACAGCGGATGCCCTTCCAGCAGCAACTCAATACTGGGAAACACCCATAAACTCTTGCATTCATACACAAACACTTTGGCTAATTTAGCTTTTTCAATTCACCTATAGCACATGTTTTTGGAGTGTGGGGGAAACCGGAGCACCCAGAGGAAACCTATGCGAACACGGAGAGAACATGCAAACTCCACACAGAAATACCAACTGGTCCAGCAGGGGTTCACACCCGTGACTTTCTTGCTGTAAAGCGATTTTGCTACCCACTGTGCCACCGTGACGCCATAATTAGATATATTGTTCATATTACTATAACCCTGATTTGTTCATTTGACTTTACTTTGACTTCATTTTACGTGAATTCAGTAGATCCCTAGAAACTGAGAATGTTAAAATAAGCATTGATTGATCTCCATCTACAAACCAATGAGTTTGAAGCTAAATTCATGCAGAATTTTAAACACTATTCTGGTGTTTTAACTTTTCATTTTTTTGCAACTCTTCAAATATGAAATGTAAAATAAAGTGGTTTTATAATATTTAGTTAGACCTCCTGAGTTGTATGAAACACATTTTCTGAAGGTTAAGAACCTCTTTTCACTGACCATTTCGTGAAAGAAAAAAAATGACTTAATTTTTAAGAGTTTCAGACCCTTGTTCGTAGAAACGTCCAATTGTATGAGAAAAAAGAGAGAGTACTTCTATTCCAAGAAGAAAGGAAGCGGAGGATAGAGTCATAAAATGCAAATATCACCCATGCTGCTTTTCCTTTTTTTCCTATACAAATTAAATGTCAGCGTTGTGAAATACTGTCACTTTACTTCATGCTGAGGAGGCGATGACAAATCCATATTCTTCCTTTAAATAAAAATTCTTATTACGGTGCTGGCGCAGTAATCACGCCAGCACAAAGCTTTCCCGTGATTAACGATAGCAATTTATTGTGTGAGAGGGCCAAGGAGAGGGAGAGCGACCGACGCAGAAGAGACATCATCTTTATCATAATTCGTATCATAAATAACCGTCCCCAGCCAATCAGAGAGCAGCCGGCGTGTCATTCCCAAATAACCTTTGATAACTATTACCATTCCACCGGCCAGAAGAAAGCCTAAAGTCACAATGTTATCTTATCCCCATTCTGCGCTTATAGAATACAACAATATTACCATATAGATTACACTATTTATAATAGAGAGTGTCAGAGGGCTCTGCCTGCACTTCCTGTCATCCATTGTGGTGCAGAGAGTTGCAGTGGCCAGATTACCACTGGTTAACTGGTATCACGCCACCCTGGTGTGTAGTGTGTGTATCCGTATCTGTGTGTGTGTATCTGTGTGGAGTGCTTGGAGACATTAAAAAACTTTGATTTAACCAGAGATTGCTTCCTCACTTGGATGTGGGTCTGATTTTGTGTGTGTGTATCTTGTTCGCTCTGTTGTTCTGCTGTGTAATCAGGTGTGGATGATTTTGATCTGTTGCTCTGATATCTACCCTCCATTCCACCCTAGGATGCTCCCTAGCAGTTATTATTTCTCATTTTCATCATTCTGTCTTGGTTTGTCTTGATTTTTCTTAGCCAATGTTTTTGTTATTTGCAAAAGAGGGCTAAATCGAGTAAGCAATTTAGGTAAATTTTTTTGTCTTACATAATTTAGGTCTTGCTTCTGGGTTTTTGGAAGTTCTTATTAATTTAACCAAAATAGTACATGTTATATTAATGTTTTGTATATTTCTGTCCTGTAGATGAGGAAGAGGAGGAACCAGTTCCTGCAGACATGGGCACTTCAGCTGAGGCCATGCAGGTCTCCATGGGTGAGGAAGAGGATGGTGAGGAAGAGGAAAATGATGAAAACTGGCTTAGTCGTCATGATGGACAGAGTCCCAGACCGGAGGGGTTATTACCCGCCGCTAAGAGACCTCGCCTTAGCACCAAACCCGGCGTTAGTCCAGAATGGAGTTATGAACCTCGGGAGCCCCTCAGTTCACTCAACTCCCAACACATGCCCCATTCACCCTCCCCTCCGCTCTCCCCCGAATTACCCCGACCTCCTGTGGCACCGCCTACACCTGGACACAAGCCCAAACTGCCATCACCTTCTCCTGCCCGGCAGAAGAACAAGTCACCCAAAAGAGGGGGTGCTGCACCCACTGGTGTATTGGGGCGACCACTTACATTGACCCCACCCAAGACTAATCAGAAAGCAGGAAAGAGATCACCTGGTATGCCCAAAAGTCCTCGCAGCCCAAGGCCAAGTTCTGCCCCTTTGGGCATAGCTGGGCGTGGTTGGCCTGGACCTCTTGCAGATGATAGTTCTCGTGATGGACAGTTTAAATGTAATGACACAGATGACAAGGATATTGAGAACTCTATTGCTGCTGTAATCGCTCGCGCTTGTGCAGGTGAAGATGGCACATCAGACCCATTTGCATACGACTCTGACTCAGACAGTGAGGGTCCACACCCTCCAAAACCTGTGCCCAAACATACACTAAGCCACATCAAACCTCCACAAGCTCTCACTAGTAAACACCTGCTTCCACCAGTTCCCCCACTTCTTAACCCGCCTATCCGTTGGACAATGGATGACTCGATAGATGAGGTCATTCGAAAGGCCAGTCAGGGACAAAAGCCAATTCAACCCCCAAGTCTTTCCCCGCTAGAGCCCCCTTACCTGTCATCACCATCTGACTCACCTCCCACACCGCCACCACCCCTCAAGCTGACCCAAGAAAGGAAAGATTCACCTACTGGTAATCTTCTGAAAAAGAAACTCAAGAAGGACATCAAGACCAAGTTAAAGAAGAAAGACAAGGAGCGACTCAAGGAGAAGGGCAAAGAAAAAGGAAAGAACAAGGAGAAAAATAAAGAGAAGAAGCGGGAAAAGGAGAGAGGGCAGGTGGAGGAGAACAAGATGCCCTGGCCGGAGCTATCGCTTGTAGTCGGCGGAGAAGAGCGGAGAGATGGCATTGGCGGGAAGAAAGAGAAGGACAAGCACAAGGACAAGAAGAAAGATAAAGAGAAAGGCAAGAAAGAGAAAGAGAAACGAGACAAGGGCAAGGAGCGGGGCAAGGAAGAGAAAAGGATATCTCAAGGAACCAAAGACATTGCCATTGCCGTCGCCGGTGCCACCAGCCCACTCTTCAGCCCCCAGACCTGCTTAAGAATCCCATCAATGTTGCCCCCTTTGCCACCAATACTCCCTGATAAGTTGTTCCCACACCCCAAGGATATAAAGAGCAAAGACAAGGACAAGAAGAAGGATAAGAAAGAGAAGAAGAAGAAAAAAGAGAAGGAGAAAGATCGAGAGAAGGAGCGGGAGAAGGAACGGGAGAAGGAACGCACAAAGGAGAAGGAGCGAGATAAAGAGGAGAAGAAGAAAGACAAAGAGAAGAAGGAAAAGACAAAGGAAAAGGAGAAAGACAAGCCAAAATTAGAGAAAACTAGTCTAATGGTAAGGTGCCCTGGCTCTCATAATGTCCCTGTTCTCAAGGTTGTTGGGTTACCCACATTTAAACACTTTTGCAATGCTATAGTTTCATTGCTTACACTAAAAAAGCACTTCAATCTACTACAGTCAATCGAAAAGTGACAAAACAGGTTGTCAGATTAGAGTGAAACACAATATAGCACACAACTCAGTGCCTTATATGGATCTGCAAATGTAATCATCAGTGAATGCAAACTACATAAGGCTGCATGGGCCATTCATAAAACTTCCACATGAATTCAATATGACTATCAGGTGCAGCATCAATAATGCAAGACACAAGAAAGTCACACAGATAGATTTACTAGCTGGCCTCGTTGTGTGTGTATCTTTCTGTCTTTGTGTCCTTTTGTGTGTGTGTACCTTTGAGATCAGAGGTAGATCGCTGAGCTACATTTACATTTCCGTCTTTTCCGGTCGATTTGTCCCTGGAATCCTGCTCCTTGCATGGAGCCCCTCTGAACACACACGCACATACATATGCACAATAGACTATCAATCTGTGTGCAAATCAAACAAGGGATAATACACCTCAAAGCCTCTGTTTACCCAATTCATACCCCTTTTTAGAGCGTGTATATGTATTTGTGTCTGCAAAAGAGCTTGAGCGAAAGAGTCTGTTGGTTCTTTTTTTATCAAACTCATCCTCCAATCGCTTTTCACCATCCCACGACACTGATAATGTATGTACACCACATCAGAGGAGCTTGAATTGATTTGGACTGCTGTGGAATTCCATTTTTCTTGCTTTCTGTCTCTTTTTCATTCGTTACCTGAATCCCTGACCCCCATGCTCTCTTTTTCTCTCCATCTTTTTCTCCCGTCTCCTGCTGCCACTGGGAGATGGGATTGAGAAAGTGATTTCTCTCGTTCTCCACCTGCTTAAATCTTTCCATCACTTTAATTTTTTGCAAGGCTGCTTTGCTGCCATCCAGGAGGAAAAGAAAAAAGAGACAAGAGAGTGAGAGGAAAGAGGAAAAAGAGAGAGGGAGAGAGCTGAGGGGGTGGGGAGCCGGGGGGGTTATCAGTCGTTGGCCTGAGGTATGTGTGCAAGGGACTTAAATCCGAAGAGATTAGCAGAAAAATGCCGTCGGTAGCAGTAAGGGGCTTTACGCCACTGGTTGTATTAGTTCAGGTGAAAAGAGTATTGCGTTTACATAAAACCGGACAAATCCAGCCACAATGCCAGTGCTGTGGGACCACAATGCAATCTGCTATCTCTGGACCTTAACCACAACATCCAGTGCTGTTTCCTGAGAACTGCCTCGGAACTGCTGCCACCAAACATGGAATTACCGAAATTGAGAGAGAACGATGGGGTGAGAGAGGGAAGAGATGGGGCAAAAGAGGAAACAAAATAATACACTGTGGAGAGAGATGGAAAGAAGAAAGTGATTATGCCATGTTTTTCTGCCAGTTGGTCTTTATATGATGTCATTGATAAAAAAATTGATTGGCAATATCAGTCAAAAATTAGTTTTAGTGGTATCCTCTATAGACATGATGCGTTGTAGCAGGTGCCCTGACAAATCTGCTGTTTTTTTTTAAAGCCAATCATCAAGTCTAAGGCCCCTTTTACATTAATACATTTCAGTTTTAAAACACATACGTTTTGCTATGGTTGCGTCCTCCATCGACACTACCCTGGTGTTTGCGAGCCCTAAAAATTGAAAATGCTGAAAACTATCTGATAGGGTTTTCCGTCAAAATTAGGTGCACAAAGTTTAGTCTTGCGTTCTTTCCTTTAAAAGTTCAGACTTCGCAAGTTTGGGGTAAATCTTCAAAGGGAACAGCATACTTTATAACGTCATATAAAATGTATTAGTGTAAACAGGGCCTAATACTAGACTATAGAGTCTATAGACATTATTTGAGAGACCTTGTTTACCAAATATGTGGTTCTAATTGATTTTGCTTTGTAAACCTTAAATACAAGTTTAAAAGTTATTATTTATTAATTCCATGTGTTAAGATTTTAATTACTATGCCCTCAAAATCGTTCAACACAAATCATTTGCACAGAAATAACAAAGAGAATGTCTGCAGTTTCTGTCTGGCCCTGATTATAACCAAAAAGAAGCTATTATAATCAATGATTCTGTCTGCACTGAATTGAGTTTGATGATACTGATGCCCAGTAGTTCTATTTCTGAGGAAATTCTCAAGCTTTCATTAACTACTTCTACAGCAGTATACCTACATTTGGTTAATTCACTTTGACATAATAATAATATTAATATTAATAATAATAGATATAATAGTATAGTCCATGGCCCAGCCCACAGATCATTTACTTCGCCTTAAGGTTTGCGTCATACAAGAACTGATTCAGAAGAAATATGACTTTTTTCCCAGCACAGATATATCAGAACTATTAAAGGAACCAAACTGAACATGTTTGAACCATCATTCAGTCAGCTTTTTTTTTTTTTTTTTTTTTTTGACTACCTATTCTGATCTCAGTTTTCAGTTTCCCAATTAGTAGTCATGGGTATTTTCCGATGACCAAAGTTTGACACGTGTGTTGCCCTCATCTGTGACTTTTAAAGACATTCCAAGGATTACACGAATGCCATAACCAACAGGAAATATGTTCTAAAAGTAGAGATGTAGTCATTGGTAAGAAAACTAAAGGTAAAATGTCAACATGGTTATTGAGTTCACTTCTTGGCCTAAGTTATTTCTTTTTTTAATATTGCTTATCCGCTTGTTAAGTGTGACGTCACGCGGAGCGGCTTCCGGGTCCAAGCACTCTATTCAACTGAATGGGGAGATTCATGAAATGGTAATAATAAACATTTACAAAGCGATTTAATACTTTCGAAAGTCACGATCGCAATATTTATGTCCATGCCTAATATCCGATGGCCAGAAAGTGATTCATTGTTTTATAAATTGTTAAAATTTTGGTATTTGTTATGCAGCAAGCCCAGAGATTGTTGTGTACACTATGACTTTATGTAAAATTAACTTTAATGTGTGATAGGAATAAAACGCGATTATAAACGAATGATTTCTCCACTCAAATGAATGGCGGCTTGGACCCGGAAACAGTATACATACGTCACAAACACGTCACCACTTAACAAGCGGATAAACTGTAATTCCAACCTTATATGTCCTACCTAAGAACTCTCCTTCATGCTCTTTTATCTCTGCCCTTTTTGAACATAGACTTGGCACAAAAAGGACCTTTGTATCATATTTAATTGTATTGTGCTTCTTGGTATTACACTCTTGTAAAATTTCAAGAGTTCCTTTTTCACTTCGCGTTATCGGTTCTTTAGCTCATATCGCTTTTAAAGAGTGACGCTGCTCTCAGGGTCACACTAACTACAGCACTTTACATCCATTTAGAAGCTGATTAATCAATTTGCGCAATCCCACAGCCATTTATGTTGGGTACGCTTGCGGTTCACGTTTGAATGAGCGGGCCTAATCGTGATAGGAGTAGGTTAAGTAGGACGGTGCACTTTTAGGGAGAAAGACATTGCTGCCACCTCCTCAACCACTTAAAGACTAATTAACATAAGTAGATAGTACTATCTTGTCCTGCTATTGTGGGTCACCCTGAGTGTGTGCACACACGTTCGCTCTTACAGACACAGACACACACACACACTCACACACACACACACAGACATACACACACACACACACACGTGTGTGTGTACATAGGCCTTATCATCAAGACACATGGCCTTGGCTTTTTCCTTAGGGAGGTTGAGAGGTCTGCACTTGCTTGAGCGCTGGATAGCCATTCTCCAGTGCACCACTGTGGTTTAAAAACACATGTGACTTCCTATTTGTCATATGCCACTATTTGAAGTTCTTTGAATTTTATTTTGCACTTTAATATACCATTTTGAAAGATGTAAACAAAAACAATGGTCCCAGTGCATTTCCTGTTTTACATTTTTAATTTCTATAGCTTCAGAGAATCTGAAAAAAGCCACATATTGATGAATAATCTTATGATAGCAGTTTTAACATGAAGTTATGCTTGAATTGCCTCTTGTTACAGTTATTAAATAGTTTATTAACAAGCACCAAATGTTCATTGGCCAATGACATGACCACATTGTAATGGTCTATACTTGAAATTAGCATTTTAGTACAATTTAATGTTTTTTTTTTTAACTGCTAAACTAATTACATTAAAAAAATACTATAAAAAGTGTTTTTGAACTGAACAATAGTCTATTCTTAACAACAATTTTTGGGTGGTTTAGTACAAGTTTGTGTTTATTCAGTAACTGTTCTAAAGAGTTAAACTTATTCATTTTAGGAATTCATAGTTAGTACTTGAAGCCGTCTTCCTCTTTTTTGGCTGAGGTCATTTGGGATGCATCAACATGGAATTTTGGCTCATACAATTACCAATAACTTGGTTAAAAGCTGGTTTTATATATTTCAATAAATATAAATCTTGAAAGAATTTTTTTCGAACCACTTTCTTAGCCAGATTGCAAAATCCATTCCAATGGACGGATTTATTTTAAAACCTTAATTGTAGAAGATTACAAGTCAACATCTAGCTAGATCTCTCTTTTTTGTAGAGTTTATTACAAAAATGCAATTTTGAAGTCCTCTTTTTTTTCTCATTTTGGAAATCTCAGATGCAGACATCTTGTCTTCACACATGCATAAACTCTTCCAAAGCATGTATCACCTTAATAACTTTAGAATATTGTTTTGACAGTTTTATTTTTGGGCCGAAAGTGATAACTTGGGAAAATAAGCATTAACCAGCTCATACTGATGATGTAGCTTTAGATATAGCATGCCTGACTAAATTAAGTCAGTCCTTCTATTTCTGTTTAAAAAATAATATAGTTACTATGTTTGATCACCATTTGAGTCCAAAGTCAAATCTGAGTCCTGTTGCAAAATCAGTATTTTGAAGTCCTATTATTGTCTTTGTTTTATTTAGCGCTGCACAGTGTACCTATTTCATCACATTCAATTCAGACTGCACAGTGAAATATAATTTATTTTGCCATGCCACTGTAGATTAAGTAGCGCCGCTGTTGAATACCAAAGCAGGAAACACCACTACCAGGTGAAACAAGTTTGTTTAGCTCGTTTCTCTCCAAGGAGTTTTCCATAGATTAGCACAGCAGTCTAAAGTTCATTGTGCCGAGTCCAGCGTTAACTCAAGAGCTCCTCTAATCAAGTGAAGTACAAACTGCTGATCAATCTTTTATAGCAGTTTAGAGTTGCAGCCCTTGTTATAGCCCCAGTATAATGTAACCCGTATATAGGAGCAATTGGGGTTGGCAGTTTGTTCCCATCGCCAGAGGAGACGCGTGATAGTCATGGTTATAATGCTTCATAAAAGCCCTTCATTTGGGACGATTGCATCTGAAAGTGAATCAGAGAAAAAGAATTGCAATCGCAGGCATACCTCCAGACGTATTTTTTTTGTTTTATAGCCGTCACTCGCCAGGTTTGTTCATGCATATATGCTAATGCATCGGCTAACGCGGCTTCTCACGCTCCTATTCTCTCCAAATGATGCAACCTGCCAGCCATCCTCTCAATTCTGCTGATACTTACGTTCCCCTCTTTCCATAGAAGAAAGGATGTGAAAAACAGAGAGGATGGGGTGGTAGACAGACAGAGTGAGCGAGACACAGGGAGGAGTCTCCAAATCCACAAAGGTTTTGTAATGAATGCGCGGCACAACAATAAAAACAAAAACATTAAAGAGAGAAAAGACATGTTTCTGTGTTAAACAATTAGTGCAGCGGCATTATGGGGGATCTGGGCGGACAAAAGCGCCACAGCGGCAGGGGTTCTCCCCAACACAAATGCACAAAGAGCACCTCACTCCCGTTAAGCCCCAGGAAAAACCCTCGAGACACACTCAAGACCGGTCTCCTCCGCCAGCACCGCGTTATCCGTCCCTGCGCTATCATCTCCTCCATCTCGCATTCGCTTTGTTCTGTTCATCATCCCATTCGGCTGTTTTTATCTCTGTTCTGGGGTCTGCCCGTACCCCTCTCTCGATTCCTCCCACCTCAATGGCCTCGGACAGGAGTCAGTCCTGCCAGCATCAGAGGTGTATGTACATAAAGGGCTTTTCAGAAGGACTGACCCTGGTGCTAGCTAAACTGGATTAGCAGGACACTATGTTGTCTATCTGCCGTTTAGAGTGTGGGCATCTGAGGTGAAACTGTGTTCTTGTCTCCATTTGTGGTTTAATAGCTGACATAGGATGCCCACAATCATGTCGACACCAAACATTTGATTCTGTGTGAGGAATATAGGGTTAACCCCCTAGGATTACTCCAAACCAACAATGATTGACTCTGTGATAGCCTTAGTCCTATTTTGCTATCGTAAACAAAACATGGATGACAGCAGTTTAATGTGCTTGGTGGTAGATTCTTTATAAATGGGCGTTATTAGCTTCAGCTTGTTCAAATTTTTATATACTAGTTTGCTTCAGATCAAAGGGATAAACCTATGTGCTGTGTTCACACCAGAAGTGGAACGTGTGCATAAATCGTGATATTCATGCAAAAAATAGATGTGTGTACATTTTGAGTTTACTTGCCTCATTCGTAAGTCATATTTGCTTCATTCGCGCATCAAATTCACTTCACAATAGATGCGGATTCATGTCATGGACATGGCTTCTGTCTGCCTGGTGACTATAGCTCCATTGCTAAATGGGTAACATGGATTTTATTGAGATAGTAGCTGTGCTTGATGTGCTTTAGGAATGCTGAAAACAGAGTAGGTTCGTTCGGCACTGTGTCTGAGTCCACTAGATCCTTTCTGAGGTGCACCCATATTTGTGAGTTCATCAACTCCTCCAGAAACTGTACCTGCATGATAGAGGCTTTCAGTGGTGCTTCTGACTGAGCCAAGCCCAGTTTGATGGACTGTTGTCCGGTGTCGGCAAGAGGATTTCTTCACGGGACACCAACAACAGGCACTACGTCATAATCACTCCCCTACAAGAGCAAGCTCACAATTAGTTAACACAGTGCAAATGTCCACTGAAGTTCGATTTTCTAATTCTAGATGCGCACGTTATGTGTGTGGAAGGCGCAAAACGCTCAACTTTTGCTACTTCATTCTTGCAAAACGCGTCATTCTCATTCGCTTGAATCGTGCCACATGATGTTTGTTCGTGTCTTTGCATTGACTTAACATGTAAATAACTTGCACTTGATGCTTCATCTGCGTCTGGTGTTAACGCAGCAATAGCGATAGGTGATAAATTGATATAGATATTTATTAGAAAAACTAATTAATTGTTAATGTTTTTAAAAAATGTTATTATTAGACTTATACATGTATTAAAAATGTTAAATTTAGTATGGGGGTGCAATATAAATAAAACATTTCTTACAGATTGCAGTTGCTTGTAAAGTTATTTTTACATTATTTTAGTTACATTTGAAGGTACAATTCTCACTTTTAACAAATCAAGACTTTTAGTTCAATAAACTACAAATTTGCTACTTATTCTTAGTAGTAATTTGGTTATTGTATTGGGGAATTATGGATGTAGAGTAAGATCATACTTTATAAGTACAAATAAACAGCTAGTATCTTAATAATAGACAAGTAAAAAGTCAGTAGTTAATAGGGTTTGTTGGTACTTATTTAGAAGTAAATATTTAGTGTTACTAAATATTCATATTGATATGATAAAAATAAATAGAATAATAATAATTGCTGTATTTTTTATGGTATCACTTTGCATATTGATTCTGAATTGATATCAATGCGTTTTATCTACGTTCAGGCTGAAATTCCTCCTGCTGTCCCACCGTCTCCTGTCATACCCCGACTGACCCTCAGAGTGGGCGCCGGACAAGACAAGATGTAAGTACCCCACACACATACATACACACACACACATGAATGAAGGCTCAAGACTATCAGGCAACTCTCTGTGTGGCCAGAGTCTCTGAGTCTGTGTACAGGTGTGAGTTTCAGGCTTTGGGTCTTGTGACCAGTCCCAGACGGCCCGTGAGGTCTTTGAGGGGGGCAAACACACACACACCACATCATGGCCCCCTCCTGCACACTCCTATCAATAGCGCTAGTGTTCACACCACTTAACCCCCTCACACACACACACACAGCGCCATACTACAGGTAAGGCGATTACTGAATCCTGAACGTCTACACGTGACCGATGTCGCTTTAATGGCCAGAGTGATTTAGCCTGAGAAAGTATAGCATGTTTTGACTGCGCTGTTCAATGTCTTCCTCACCTCTTCAGTTCCACCTGCATGCAGGACGGGAAACATTAGTGTTTACGTCTGTTTGCACAGGAAGGCCTTTATTCTCAGACCGGGAGTGTGTTGTGCCTCTGATGTTGCTTTTTTCCTCACACCTGTAGTCTGGTGTGTAGGAAAACACAATCAGCGGTCCTTTCAAGAGGGAAATATGTTTTATGTGCGTCCTTGTGTTTTATTTCGTTTGCATAAACATGAAGCTTTAGATGTTGTTTGTGTTTAACTTTCATGTTGGGTTGAAAGACTTCAGTCTTAACGCTGCAGTTTGGTTACAATATGATGCAAAATCAAGTACATAACCAGTCGGTGTTCAAATTGTCTTCTTTCTTTAAGCTGATTCACATTGGTAAGTTTGTAATAATGTTTTCGTATTTTTTAAGTCGTACTTGTAGGTTTTCAAATGAGATGCGAGCTTGTTGTTGTTCATCTTTTATTGTTACTATACATCTCATTTGTACACAGTTAGAGGGACTTCCAGCTTTAGATACATCAAATACCAGGGTCATTTGTAGCCTCATCTCAGGAATGTGAAACTCAAATGGTACGACAGTTAAGGCTGGTTTATACTTCTACGTCGAGTGATGCCTTGTGCTTAGTCGTGCATTTATACTTCTGCATGCTGTTTGTGTTGCTATAACACTTCCGAAACGCTAGCTGACAGTACATTTTATTGCTCCTCTGTGTCGAGTTTTTTCGTTGGTGTTTTTTTTTTTTTCTTTGTATGTAGCTAAAACTTGCTCATTCAGAGGCGAGAACTGGCAGACATGCAACAAGATTAATCATAAGGTAAACACAAAACAACAGTGTCCATATAAAGTTACTTCACTGGACTTGATATTTGTCAACACTCGCGCCAACTGGTTTACACGGCTCTCGGTCCCACCCACACTGGTCACAGCTACCAAATTGACCAATCACAGAGCTTGTGCTACGCGTCGTTGCGACATGTAGTTACATTTTTTAAGAGGTGCGTGTCAGTTATGCGACTGCGCAGTGACTGAAAGGCATTTTGAATTCTTAAATGTTGCAAAAAAGAGCAACACGGATAATTAATAAAACTGGTTATAAATCTCACTCTAATGTGTTATTTTTCAAATCAAATATATTCAAATTTATTTATTTAGTTCCTTTTCTAACAGCAAAAAAAATATGTATCTCATGTAGTTATGTAAATGTAATTTACTCTCTGTTAATACTTTTTTAAAGATTTAATAATGGAGGAAAGATATAATTTTAGGATAGCATGAAACTTTAGGGATTCTTATGTTCATACAACATTAACAATTTTTTGTATTTCTACACTACCTGACAAAGTCTTTTTATCGCTTTTAATTGTAAGAAGAACAAATAATAGCTTGACTTCTAGATGTTCATTTGGAAAAGTGGGAGATGGTGAATTTTCCCCGATGAATCAATTATCACAAATACTGCAGAAGACCTATTGGAACCCACATGGACCCACGATTCTCAAATAAGTCAGTCAAGTTTGGTAAAGGAGAAAACATGGTTTGGGGTTACATTCAGTATGGGGGCCTGGGAGAGATCTGCAGAGTGGATGGCAACATCAACAGCCTGAGGTATCAAGACAGTTGTGCTGCCCATTAGATTTAAACCACAGAAGAGGGCAGATTCTTCATCAGAATAACGCTCCTTCTCATACTTCAGCCTCTACATCAAAGTTCTACTGGATTGGCCAGCCCAGTCAGCAGATCTGAACATTATAAAGCATGTTTGGGGTAAGATGGAGGAGGCATTAAAGTTGAAACCAAAGAATCTTAATGAATCTTGATGAGTTCTGCAAGGACGCTTTCTTTGCCATGCCAGATGACTTTATTAAGAAGTCATAGCAGAGATGAATGGATGCAGTCCTCCAAGCTCATGGGAGTCATACACAATATTAATTCTTTTTCCACTGCACCATGACTTTATATTCTATACTCTACATTTTTTCTGTTAAGCGACAAGACATTTTTGACTGAGCAAATTCAGACCTTACTGTCCTAATTAACTAATTAAAAATCAAGGCATGATCATATTTTATTTTGGTAAAATAAGCATAATGTAGAGGCCTTTGCCTTTCATATAAGCAACTTTGGATACCAAATGATCAACTAGAAGTCAAGTTATTATTTGTTGTTCCTAATACTTGAATAGGCCACAAGACTTTTATCAGGTAGTGTATGTGTGATGTGAAATTTTGGAACAAACTAGGTCTGGAGCTCAAAAAATGTTCAAGAGTGGCCCAGTTCAGAAAGCAGAATAAATGTGATTTTCAGTACGTACATAAATGAAGAACAGATTTGATTTGTGTTGGTACAGTTTATTTAGGTAAACTGCACATGACGTGTAGAAAGTGAAAAGTGTGTATTAGGGTAAGAGTGAATGACAGAATCATGGAGTTAAATTGATGATTATTGTTATAGATTATTACTTATTCTTATGGATAGTTACTTGTTATTAATGTAGAGCAGTGAATGGGTAGGATTAAACATATATTTGCTTCTTTCTACTCTTTTTCGTATATGTATAAGTTAAAATCGTGCTGTATTATTTTTGCTTTCTTTTTTTAGTAACATTGTAATTGTTTTTTTTTTAAACATATTTTTATCATTCTGCAAAGTACTGCAATTGCAAGTTTCAAACAAAGATGGCGAAAAGATACAAAAGAAAAGATTTTAAGGGATAGTTCACCAAAAAATTAAAACTCTGCCATCAATAATTTATACTGCACTTGTTTCAAACCTGTTTGAGTTTCTTCTGTTAAATGTAAAACAAGATATTCTGAAGAATGGTAAACGGTAGACAATTTTTAAGCATTTTGAACTATCGTGTAAAAAAAAAAAAAAATGCTTAATATAAACACCAAGATGTGCTTACATTTTGAAAATGTGCAATAAAAAAACTTGAGTAGGATAAATATTTTTTGGTTAAGAAAAAATGTGATTAAACTTAGATGGACAAACATTTACTGAATAAAATGTTTTATTTAATTATATAATTTAAATATATATTTTTATGTAGTGAAATTCGACGATGAGATGGCATTAATGGACAAACTGGCAAACCGACCACATTGCCAACATGTGAAAGGTTGTTATTGATTCGGTATTTCAAGAAAATTCTGCAGCATCTCGCGCATCTAAAAGCCACCGTGCGTTCATTGCATTTCCTCTTCATCTACTAAGGCGCAAGTAATTTTTTAAATATGAAAAAATACCCACAGTGGCTTCTCAGATCACATCAAATTCCATGTTTCTTTTTGGATATTTTGCGACAGTTTATCAAGAGGAGATGATTTTTTTTTTTCTCCTTGACCCATTGGATTAAATTGATACTTTATTCACAAATGATTTATGTGATATTATAGTTTTTGCACATAAGCTGAAGTCACATCTTTGGATAGAAAAATTATTATTGACTTATTAATTTATTTTTCTCTTTCCCTATAGTGGATATCAGTAGCTTTGATTTTCCAAACTTTTTCAAAATAGTTCTAGCGAACTAAAAGTTTGGAACCATTTCAGGATAAGTAAATGGTTTATTAAATTTTCATTTTGGGGTGAACTATTGCCTTTAAGTAAACTGAAAAAAAAAATATTCACAGATGATTCCTTGGATTTACTCATTTTTTTACGTTAAGAAGTTGTAAACAATTTATTTGTGTTGAATTTAAACAAACAAATTAAGTTGAACATTATTAAACTTAATTTGTTTGTTTAAATTCAACATAAAAAAAATGTTTGCAACAATTCTGCATGCAACACTTTTTTCAGTGTATAAGATAAAGAAGGATTGACTTGCATAAGCAATAACTAAAAATAGTGTACATTTCTCAACAGAAGCTCTTTTGATGCGCATGAAAACATGGGCATGGGTGAACTTTGACCTTTGGAGGGTCTCGGGTCACATCCTGGACAGGGCAAACCCCACACCATCTTTGCCCCGCAAGGGAGTCCTGTGTGTGTGTCAGTCAGATGAAGCATAAATAATGAGTGTGTGTGTGTGTAATCAGAGCTGAGCGTTTGACACGCCCTTCTCAGGGTCAAAACCGCAGTGAGCGCCGCTGTCCACTCTCTCCCAGCCTGTCAATCAACCTGTTACTCGGCAACAGCAGGCTTTAATCAGCAGCTCTGGCAGCAATTAAAAGACGTGAGACAGTTCCAGTGTGAGTCTGATTATTAGGGAGCCTCAATATATTCATATACTCATCATATTAGACAATATTAGCTGATACTGTAAATGGATGAATTATGTATTATGTAAATCATATTCTCTTTTCTTACGATATAATAGTGAAATCACAAAAATAGGCAAAATTATAAATTTTTTAATTATTAATTTGATAAATAAATATGTAAATAACAAAGTGCTTATACTGATACTTGTATTCTTTAAAAAAAATATGTGAATCTTTTATTTACAGTACATAGTTTTATACATATTTATATGTTTTAATATATGATTAAGGGTGTCACGGTGGTGCAGTGGGTAGCATGATCACCTCGCAGCAAGAAGGTTGCTGGTTTAAACCTCGGCTGGGTCAGTTGGCATTTCTTTATTGAGTTTGCATGTTCTCCCCGTGTTGGCGTGCATTTCCTCCGGGTGCTCCGGTTTCCCCCACAGTCTAAAGACATGTGGTATAGGTGAATTGTCCGTAGTGTATGTGTGTCTAATGAGTAAATGAGTGTCTATGGATGTTTCCCAGTGATGGTTTGCCTGGAAGGGCATCTGCTGCGTAAAACATATGCTGGATAAGTTGGCGGTTCATTCTACTGTGGCGACCCCAGAATAATAAAGGGACTAAGCAGAAAAGAAAAGGAATGAATGATAGATGATTAATTGAGTCACAACGCAAATTTTAATATTGACCATTATTTTAAGCTGTTTCTCATTGAAATACAGCTGTTGCTTTTCTTAAACATTATTAAATTAATTTAAATTATTTATATTAATGTTAGCTGAAAAAATATACAGTATACGTTTGAATATAGATTTGTGCAAATACATAGGGAGGCAATGCATTTCATCAGTGTATTCCATATAAAACAGCTGCACAACAAATAGGGCTGCACAATATTGGGAAAAAGTGACATTAAAATATTTTCTTTTACTGCAATATAAAACTAGCCTGCAATTGGTGAAATTCGCAAAGTAGTCCACTTTAATTTTTACAATTATTATAGATGTTTAAGGCTGTAAACCCTTCACCTCGCTCTTTATAAACTTTTCTCTCCTGTTTCCTGTTTAAACACATGCATAACTTCTACCTTCCTTTAGCATGTCAAGAAGTCCAACTTTTTTTGCAATGGTTAGCATCTTCCTTTGCCTTTTGGGTGCTACTGCAGGTGCCTTTGAGGGTGCAGAACATTTGGTCGACATTACGGAATTTATTGGGTAGAAAACTTGGCAAGCTGAATGCATTCTGTACTTTACAGGAGGCATGGCATGGAGGAGATTGATTGACAATGGTCTACAGCCAATTAGGATGCAGAACACAATGCACTGTTTAAAAAAGCACGTCAAATTGCACAAAAAAAGAGACTGCGAAAGATGAACCGCATTATGGCGAGAGACATGATATCAATATAGTATCACCAGATTTGGAAAGAATGTATGAGTTTAGATCGATTGGGATGGTTTTGTAAGGGAGCGAAGTGCAATAAAATATAATAAAGCAATGAAAACACTGTTAAATACAACAGAGCAAATACACAAATGAAATAAACAGTGCTTTATAGTTTTCTGGGGAGTCTACCAATATTCAGGTACACAAATTGAATAATCAGATGTAATTCTTGACACTGTATAGTTTTTATCATGTAAAGAAGACTGTATATACAGTTATTCATTACAGCTACAAACATTTTTTTTATTGTGCCCAAATGGCTTAAATTTGCTTATTAGTCGCAGATCTTAAATACTAATGCAGAAAAATAAACTTTATCTCTAAGGGTAAAATGATCGGCATTACAGGTGTAAAGTGACTATTGTGGATTTACATATGGTGATGATGTATATTTATTATTATATTGTATTGTGTATGGATGGATGGATTGATAGATTGATTTATCGATTGATTGTGCACCCTAACTACAAGCAATTGATTTAATTAAAATCTACTACACAATTTGTATTATAACTGTTTTCCATCTCTCTCTCTCTGTCTCTTTAAGTGTGATCAGTAAAGTGGTGCCAGATACAGAGCCCACTCCTCCTCCACCGCGGACCCCAGTGGCCCGAATGGGTCCCGGAGCCCGAATACGTCCTCCTCCAGTTCTTCCTCCACCTGCCCCGCCTCCTGCAACCCCTCCACCTCGTCCTCCACCCGTGCTGCCTCCACCTCCACCTCCAGCGGCCCCCATCCAGACTCCACCCAACCAGGCTAAGGCTCGTGGCTGCAGCGTCGTCACCGAGACTGTCAGTGCTTATGTGGTCAGTCACACATATACATTAAATATTGTAATCTATTATTATTATTATTAGTTATAATATTACATGATATTAAAAATATATTATTATTGCATATTCATTAATATAGATTATATATGCCAATTATTATACATTTTCTAATTTTTTATGTAAAAATAAAATGTATGAAATGCATTGTAATTTATTTAATACTTAGAAATTAAAGTAATAATACTTAGGGTTAGGGTTAGAAAATTAAAATAGTTTGTAAAACAGTTTGTAAAAATAAATATTATTATTTTGTTTTTGTTTTGTTTTTTAAGGGATTAATTAATAATTACTCATTTAAGGTTATTTGTTCAGATTTATTTATTTATTTTTCTTTTAGAGATTTTTTCATAAAAATATAATAAAAGTGCCTTATTTTTTACAAGTGTTTACATTAGTCTTAGTTTTTACACAACTTGATATATGTTTTAACTAGATTTAAAACCTTTTTTTAAGTCTAAATTTTGTGGAATATTCCTGATTATCAGTCATAAGAAATGAAACATTTCTTATGCAGACCAGATCAGTTATTTATAAAGAAAATCATGCTCTATTTAAAAATATTTAGACAATATTTATAGTAAAAAATAAAAGTCCACATTAAATCAATATTAGCATTGTTCATTTTTACCTGTGCACATTGTAGGTCTTTAGGTAAACAAATAATTAGTGCAAATTTAGCCTCATTCAGACTACATGACTGCTTCCCTGATTTTGGTGTAAGGAGTCATGGGGATTCAAAAATGACAAATGGGTGTCAGGACTAGGCATGGACTGGTATAAAATTCTGACAGTATGATAACTTTTGATATTAATATACCGGTTTCATTTACCCTAATTATTGCTCTTCAATATGTTCTTTTTAAATGTCTGGGTAAAAAAAAAAACTACTTTTTCCCCCATTGAACAATATATTTTACTTTAAGAAACATTTTAAATATTTTGAAACAGTAAACATATCAGGCTAAATAATTCAAATAAATTATTGACTCCTGTTGTCTTCGAAAACACACGTATCTTCTTTATAACTTAAAAGGGCATCTTTGGATATAAAGTACATAAAAAAAAAGTGGGGGGATTTACTAAATTTTTTCAGGTAAGTGGTTCCAAACATTTTATTTGGGCTGAATTTAAACAAATAAAATTGAACATTACCAAATTTATTTTGTTTAAATTCAGCCCATATAAATTGTTTGTAGCAATTTTGCTTTGTTCGGGTCTATATTGTTCTAAATCATGGCCTGACCTGTAGCTTTTAATGTGGATGGTCCTTTTCTGCTGGAGATGCTGTTGGTCTAAAAAACTAAACAAAATTGTCATAAAAAACACACAAAACCATTTACTAAAATCGCCATTTCCTGATTAACTGGCACCATATATCAAAAGTGAAAACAAAATTTGCTGCGGTAGAAGAAGCTGAGTCAATCCATTCTTTTTTTTAAATAAATTTTTTGCGCCTCAGAAGACAAATGCCGACCCGCAATGAGCGTATGGTGGCATTTAAAGGCGTGAGACATGGAGCACAGATGCTCTTGGCTATTCTGGAGGTAATTATTAATATGACAACACTAATACTGAAATGGTTAGGGCATTTTAGAATGACCAAAACAACATTTCAGATGTATTATAATGTGCTCAGCCTGCATATTTTTATCATCACATGATCTCTTATAACAAAATCACATGGCTTTTTTAATGCGCATACTGGAATTCATCGTAGTTTATGTGCATATTTTCTTATCGAATAAAAGTTTATCCTACTCAGTTATGCGCATATGTTTTTTTATGCACATTTTCAAAATGATCTGCATCTTTGTGTTTCCATCAACCGTTTTTACGCACATATCCAAAATGTATTACAAAATGCATCACAGAAACACAAAATCACTTCCGTACACAGTTTTTAAAATGGCAAAACAAATGCTGCTAGGTGGACATGAAATGGAAGAAAGCTTTTTGGAATTATGACAACATTTTGTATGTATGAGGTGTCATCGAGGGACTAGTACCATGAGAAAATAAAAAGATAAATGTTGGCGATCGATAGCTGAGGCGCCACAGCTGCCCGGTGAGTACAGTACTGAAAATAACATGTAAACAAACAAATCACTGTTTATGTTCTCATTCACAATGCGGTGTGGGGAAAATTTATATGAATTTATCTTTAAAGGTAACCGACTGTCTACTGCTTCTGGAATTCAGGGAAATCTCTTGTTACCACAAAATGAAACTACTTTCTTTTATTCAGAAATCACATACACACATTACATAAATCTATATATATACAGCTAAAGTCAGACATATTAGTCTGACCCCTGTTTATTATTTTCCCCAATTTCTGTTTAACAGAAAGCACATTTTTTCAACACATTTTTAAACAAGTTAGTTTTAATAACTCATCTCTAATAACTGTTCTATTTTATTTTTGCCATGATGACAGTAAATAATATTTTACTAGATCATTTTCAAGACACTTCTATACAGCTTAAAGTGGTTTTAGGTTAACTGTGCAGGATAGGGTAACAAGTCAAGTTATTTTATAACGATGGTTTGTTCTATAGACTATCGAAAAAGGAAAAGCCTAAAGGGGCTAATAGTTTTTTTCTTTAAAATGGTGTTAAAAAAAATTAAAACTGCTTTTATTCTAGCCGGAAAAAAAACAAATACAGTTTTCTTCAGAAGAAAAAATATTATCATGCATACTGTGAAAATCTTGATGTCAATCTTGTCTTCTTGATGACAGAATGTGTAGTAGACATCACGTGATGATAGATAGTGATGCAAATTGTATTTTGGCATATTTGGTACCCACAAAGTGTCAAAATTTTATATAGGCAAAATGACGTAATCTGACATTGTAACCATCAATAAAAGTCATTTAGACTGAATGGGACTTTAATTGCACTGAAGAAGAAAAAACTGTTTGTTTTATTAAATTATAACTAGGCTTTTATTACATCGTCATGAGCTCAGATTTGGTTGACCAATCAGAGCAAAGTTGGCATTTCAGCTCTGCCTACATGTGTACAATTTATTTTTGGAAGTTGTTTGTCCATTTTCCTACCCTAAATTAAAAAAAACGAAAATAGTGCCAAAATTTAATTTTTTCGTTTCTTGTGAGCAAATGAAAAACTGCCGTTTTCTTCATTTTCCTTTTTTTTGTTTGAAAACTGATATGGATTGGACAGATGATAACCTGATTCTTTTTGCACATCATTTCCTTGTAGCAAACTAATGGTATGAGGCGTGTGGTTAAGAATATTGTGTATGAAGTCATCAAACTGACCTTATCAGAGAAGGACCGCCACTCCAAAAGTGCAAGCAAATGGTCAGACTTTGATTGAAGATTACTAAAACAAGCATTTTTTTTCCAGTGGATTAACTTGGATGGATTAATTGTTCAACAAAAGTATGATAATTTTTGCTAAGTAAACACTGTAAATTTTGATTTTGCACAAACTTTAATCAAAATCTGTGCTTCTCTGATGATGTCAGTTTGTTGGCTTGGGTGAAATATTCTTAGCCGCGCCCAACTGTTAATTTGCTATGGGTGAAAGGGGTGAGGACATGAACAAAAATAAAACCACACCCTCTACTCAATATTCCACTTCAGTTGGAAAGACGTCATTATGCTGTTCACGCTGACTTTAATATTTTATAATACTTTAATATTTTACTCAAACAAAAAACACATACTTAATACATCTAGCAAATATTAAAAAGTGGCCAAGAGGTCTCTTAATGTTTTCAGTAGCTACATATTTTGCAAGAACTGTCACTTTTAAAGTTTTATGCAATGTTTTTTATGATTATTAAATCGATTCTGTGTTTGTTCATGACAGATTCGGGATGAATGGGGTAATCAGATCTGGATTTGTCCAGGATGTAATAAAGCTGATGACGGTAGTCCAATGATCGGATGTGATGAGTGCGATGACTGGTATCACTGGTAAACAAACCCTTATTCTTTATTTTTCTCTCTTTAGCTCTTTAGGTACGTTTCTATCCAATAATGTGAATTAAACTTATGCGCAAAACTGGAATTTTGCATAAAATCTTGCAAATTAAGCAACATTTCCATCCAATGAGTCAAAGGGAACAAAATTTTCACTACTTGATAAACTGGCGCTAAATATTAAAACAAAAAAAACTTATTTTCTGTAGTAGAAAAAGCCACCAAGCCAACTATTATAGCCAATTACTATATAACCAATTAACTGCGCCTTAAAAGACACTTCATAGAATATGGACATTTTTCTTATTGAATAAAAAGTTTATCCTACTTAGCAAATACGTTTTTATGTACATTTTTTTGCACCTTGGCATTTATATTAGGCATTTTGTATGCTATATTTTAAAATGCACAAATACATGAATGTAAACATAACTACTGTTGTTGTTTATTTCTAAAATTTGACGTACTTTATGTCAAACTTGAATGTGTGATAGAATTTTTTTAATTTTTTTTATTTTTTTTTAATTATATTGAGATAATTACGCCTATGTGTGTTGCACAAGGTATTATGGAGTTATGTCAATTCACACATCCTGTTTTTTTTTATTTTTTTGGTCAAATTTTTTTTCTTATTGTTTCAAAAACACCTCAACACAAAGTCAATCAAAAAAAATGTGCCAGGAAAAAATTGCCTGGTATTCCTGTAAAGAATTTTAGGAATCTTCTTTTAGATGATTTTTCACGTAAACATCAAAACTGTACACGCACATAGAGAACAAGCCATCTCTTTTATCATAAAAGCAGATATTTTGATGTTGTGAATGATCTAGTATTTCATATACATATATAAAAGTCGTGCTGTTTTTTTTTAAGTCTCTGTTTAGAATTTAGTTTTGAAAAATGCAAAGTTGGCACAAGATTTGCGTTGTTAATCATTCCACTTTAGTTTATCTTGTTAGCGAGACTCATCTATCTGTTTTTCTGTCTCTTTCAGGCCTTGTGTGGGTCTTCTTGCCGCTCCTCCCGAGGACCAGTCCTGGTTTTGCATAAAATGTGCTGGCAAGAAGAAAGACAAGAAGACAAAAAAAAGGAAACGCAAAGCGCACTGACCCACATTTATTCTTCTCCGTGTTCATCTGTTTTCACCTTAATTGGTTTCCAGACTCTTGTTTGCTGCATTTGTTTGTTTCGTTGCTGTTTTTTGTTCTGACCCAACCCTTCTTTTAACTCGGTTAACTTAACTCAGAATCATAATGTATTTTTTAAAAATGTCAAATGTCTATATGTTACTTTTTTATGTGGAGAATCGTAAATTATGTCTATATGATCTTTGTACTGAGCTCATGATTGTTCGGTAAACGTGTGTTGAAATGAACCTCTCAGTTCGCTCTCATTAAAGGTTGTTCGTTGTGTGTGCTGATTCATCAATGCTGAGATGTCAGCCGAGAAAGGAAAAAAAAACATTCTGTACTATAATCTGCCTTTTAATATGGTTTTTCCGATTGATTTTGACTGGAGGTGCAGTTTCATTTTACTATGGATTTAATTAAAAGTTGCTTTTTCACATCTTAGTGTTTTGTTGTCTTGTCGTTTGTTTGGGTGCGAAAGTTCTGACTGGTAAATGACTCTGAAATAAGTGCTGCAAAAATCAGTTATAAATAATTATGATCCAAAATTTTGAAAAGTCCTGCGTCAAATTTTAACTGGCAGAATAATGTTAAGTAAAAGTTTGATTTATCTCTATTAAACTTAACATTTCTCTCAATTAATCTTTGGAATCCAAACAATGTTTTCATGACAGTGAGTTCTGAAATTAAGTGTCAAGAATTGTTCTTTGAAATAAAATAAATATTAGTAATAATAAGCAAATATGTAGTCACTCTTGTTGTGTATATCAAACCTTGCACTATTTTATCTAAATTGTTATATAACTGTCCTAAAATATTAGAGATGATTCAGCTTAAAGTGGCCACACAGTGTATTTGGGAAATTTTGTTACAAGTAAAAATGTATATTTTTGCATAACAAGTGTTGTTTATTTTAAAGATTTTTAAATGTTTTTTAAATCTCAAAACAAAGACATGGGCTGTATCCTGCACAGTTCTCTACTATTTAGTACTGTACAATACCTGACTAAGTACAACCAAATGTACTCAAATACATTTTTTATCCCATGAAGCCACAGATGGTTTGTTAATGCTGGTGGACTGAAGCTGGTTTAGTCACATAATAATGACAACATGGTAATACCTTGAATAACCTCATATTTATTTTATTTGCACACATTTGTACTACATTGAGCTATATGTTTTGTTGGGTTACTCACAAAGTAATTCCTTGTCCAAAACAAGTAGGTTATCTGCTAGTTTTGCAGCTCTAATCAAACTTAAGTGGAACGTTAATGGTTGTTAGAAGTTAAGACTAAGAAAAAAGAAAAAAAAAACAATCTGGTTTTACATATATGCCAAATTAATATTGTTATACTATGGTATGATATATTGTGGTGACCGTGTTTGAAATTAAAACCAGATTTATTTGTAGTAATAACGTGGTTAAGATTGGTGAACAACAGATGTCAGTGTTCAAAATATGACTCTATTATTAAATACTTTGTTTCTTGATTGATTTGAGGTAGCGCTGATATTTGCTACAACAGTTAATGTTACTTTTAAGCGGATTTCTTCATTTCCATGTTTTTAGCTGAATCAGTGAATCAGTTGCTTAAATGATTCGTTCAAATCACCGATTCGTTCAGAGTTTAACATAGTTACAAGTGTTGTTTGAACCGCTACCTGAATTATGCTTTGGCTGTTTGGAAAATAACAGACAAAATGTAAGTACGACGTATTTTTACTGTTATTCAGCTGTATTTGTGCTCAGGAAATGACTATTATTAAATACTTCATTTATTTTTTTATCTGAGGTAGCGCTGAGATTTACTACAACAGTTACAGTTTTTTTAGCGGGGTTTCTTCTATATAAACTGACAGAAACGTTCGTCTTCATTTCCATGTTTATGGCTGAATCAGCGAATCATTTATTCAAACGATTTTTTCAAATCTCTGATTCATTCGGAGTTTCAAGCAGATACGAACGTTATTGTTTGAAACGCTACCATGGATTCTGCTTTTTCTGTTTGGACCAAACAGACAAAATGTAAGTAACCACGTATTTTTACTGTTATTCCATTGTGTTAGTGTTAAAAAAACTGATTTCCTACTAGAAATAACGATGCTTTTATTTTTCATGTCAACACACAAGACTGGCGTGATTTCCTGTTTCCTTACGTTTGAAATACGAAATTTAATCATAGTTTTACTACAAGTTAATAAAAACTTGTTTTTGTAGATAAACGACGACAGCTAGCCACAAATGAACTCATCATATAAGTGATAGGCTAATACAAATGGATATTAGGCCTATTTTGTAATTTGAAAATCTCGTTTATTTATTTATCATTGAAGTGTTTGCTTGTTTCGTGGTATCTTAAAAATGCCATTTGCTTTATTTTTTTTCTTAGTTATGGCTCAAGGTGTTTCGGGTCACATTGATTAATTGAGTAACTCATGTCTAATAATAAGTAAAGCTAACAATGTCTGGTCCTGCACAAAGTGTCAAAGTGGTTTTGTTCGAATCTTTTATTAATTATTTTTCTTGTAATTTGGAGTATAACAACACAACCCTTAAACATATTTGAAAAAAATGTAAGCATGTTGACATTTAGCAAAGCAAAAATTTAAGGCAGTTTGATGTTTCAAATGATTAACGTTACAACAAGTAAATATAGGTAGGCCTTCTCATAGTAAGTATCGAAATAGTTTTTGAATGGGCTTGTAGCAAAGAAGACGAAATGTTTACCTTTTTAATTAACAAGAAAAAAATAATGAAGAAAAAATGCTGGAATGTTATTACTCACGAAACTGCCTAGTAACGCTTTTACGTCTACATATAAAAGGTCCATCAGAGTAGAGTAAAATACAAGTCTTATCACTCTTTCCCTTTGTAGTTCTGCCAATGTGACTATTTAGCTCCCACACAGCAGCTTTAAAGTCTTCCACCTGATGCACTGAACTCATTTAAAATCTCCTCAAATATCCCCTCGCTACCTGTCATTTCTCCTAATCACATAGATACGGCCGGCTAAATGAGCCTTTACCGTAGCTAGATCATTTCTTTATGTTAGCGCTTATCACAGAAAACTGAGGCCTTTATTGTTGCATTGTTATTCCTTTCAAAGCAGAAACGACTGTTCTGCTGCAGCAGGGAGCAGTTAGCAGTGCACTGGCTGGTGATAAGAAATGCGTTCCACATGTAGACTGGTATCCAGAGCTGATGGTCTCCAAATCTACAGACAATAGCTGTGAGCTATGATCACATTTTGTAAAATAATAATAATAATAATAATAATAATAATAAAAATAAATAAATAAAAATGTCCATTTGAAATGTACGCTCGTCAAAAGATGAACGCTTAAGGTCGTGACCATAAAAGCTACATATACGGATAACAGTGTAGATATGTGTTTGAAAGAACTGATAGTGAATCTGACATTAATAATGAGTAGGCCTGTTTTTTTTTGTTTTGTTTTTTTTTAAGTGACAAGAAGGTTATTTTAGTATGGTTAATAGAACACAGAACGTTTTTTTTTATGTTGCTACTTGTTTTAGAATGTTCAGAAGACATTCAAAAGTAGCAAAATGGAACGTTCCATTAAAAGGAAATAGAACCGTTTTGGCAGAGTATATTACAAATGAATACAATGTTTTGAAGTATTGTTACATTTGCTAACAATATAAAAACATTTTAGAACATATTTTGTTAGCTCTATGAAAGGCCCAGACCACTAAATTTAAATAGTTAAAATACATTTCTTCAGCTGTATCATTCTTATTGCAAATTAACCCATGGTTTAATGTAGGGCTGGACTGTTAAATTATATTATATCAATTTGCAATAAACTTTTTTTACTCTATATTGATCTAAGAGCCAATCACACAGCAGAAATATGCAACAATGGGAATCTAAAAATGTGTTGAGAGATGTACCCAATTTTCAGCCTCCAAAAAAATTTTCCCAAAAAGATGTTCAGCCATTTAATAGACTATCTAATTTTTGTGGTTTCAGTCAAAGCCTGGGCCGGTATAGGATTTTTACGATATGATAACCTTAGTTTAAAAAAAAATCACGGTTTCACAGTATTGTGATTACTGCAACATTTAAAATATTTTGTAACAGTAAACTTAAATAATTAAAATTAATCTTTGATTTCTGCTATCTTTATCTTTCTTTGCAATTTAAGATGGCATCTTTGGAAAACTTTTCTGCTGGAGATGCTGTTGTCTTAAAAAACAAAAGGAACAGTATAACACAAAATTTGTGCAGTTTTAAAACCTTGACATTTCCAAACCGCGGTATAGCTTGAAAACATTTATCGTCCCATGCCTACTTCAGTAATTGTTGGTGTACTTCTTCAAATCTGGAAGCATTAACAACTTATATAGAAAATATAGCTCAGTAAGGAAAATAATTATCTAGATTGCATTTTTGCCAAAACGCCCATTAGTTTGATGATAGCAAATGTGTTGCAAACTTTTTTGGACTTATTGACTTCCATTTATATAACCAGTTTTCTAAATCCCATAGTTAAATCATTAGTATAGGAAGAGAAACATGCTTAGTTTGCTGTGTGTTGATTTTGGTTCATTTGCATTGATTGTCATTTGTTAAATATGGACAACTATATATTTTTTGCCCATTGTTTAGGTTTGTCCCCATTTAAGAGTGTATAAATTGGCCAACTATTACACCTGTAATAAATATTAAATTTATAACAAAACAGTAATCTATAGGTTGAATGTACCAACATCTATCGCTTTTAATTAATCTAATTACCAATTAATTTTAAGCAGCTGGTGCCAGTGTGATTAATTATAGTGAATGTAAAGTCAGTTTGCCTCCGGTTGATTTAAAATCCATGAACTCTAAAGCATTTTATTTTCATATAAATCACAAAGTTTTTTTCACATATATTTTTATAGGTTTGAATCAGTTAGCTTATGATAGTGTAAAAAACAACTCATTGAGCCATTCATCAAGCACTTTATTTAC